TGGTCGAGCCCCACCCCGCCCTCTTTTTCCCCACAGCCACATGCCCCCCGAATCGGACCGGACTGGCAGAGGACCTTGCAGCTGATGGCACTGGCGGGGGGGATGCTCTCAGAATTTAGGAGCAAGAAGAAATAAGATGGGAAGAGGTCTATTGTTGCATCCGCCACCACCGGAACTGCAACATAAGACGCCAGCAGAGGCGAACGCGCCTGCACCCCTTCGGAGCCCACCCGCTCCCCACCACACCCGTATCGCAGAGGGAAGAAAGAGAGAGAAGAAATTGAGAGAGCGAGAGAGAGGGAGGGAGGGGGGGAGAGGGAGAGAGGGAGAGAGAGAGAGAGAGAGAGAGAGAGAGAGAGAGAAAGCAGGCGAGGTCTGCATGGTTTCTGCTGCCGGGGGATTCCGATTTATGGAAATTGTTTCGCCGCCTCACCACGCCCCGCCCCGCCACCACGCTGCGGCTGCTGCAGCCGGGGTTGACAAGGCCGAGCCTTGACGCGCCGCGCTACGCAATGCGACACAATGCCGCTGTCGGTAATTATTGTTATTCGTGCCGTTATTAACTCTGCGGAGAGCGGGCGCCTAAATCGCAATGATACCCGCCTCAGCTCGCGCGCCTGCACCCCCTACCCCTTCGCACAACCGCAGGAAACGATTGCAGCTTCCGGTGGAGCCGGGATGAGCGTGGGAAAAATCGGGACGCGGATCGCAATGAAATATTTCCCTCTGGCGGTGTGGCGGGCGGGAGACGCAGCGGGCGCGGTCGAGTGGGCTGGGGCGGGGCGAGACGGGGTGGGGTGTGCCTATCTGAATTTCATTAGCCCCCCTTTCCCCTCCTCGCAGCGGAAATTGGGAAGACGAGAAAAAAAGATGGTCCTGATGCGTCCTTTTGCTTTTAGCAGTCATAAAGGGATATTTACTCGTATCCGAGACGCGATGTTTCCGTGAGCGGTAAAACCAACGAGGGAAAAAAGTGGGGGGAAAACAGCGGGGGAAGAAAAGGAACATTGGGCGGGAATTCTGAGAGGCAAGCAGATGCCCGGGGGCGATGTTCAGCCCCGTGAAAGTTATATGATGTTCGTAACGCAAGGGTCCTTTATGACCGCATGGCCCGCCTCGCAGTGCAGTCCGTCGCGGCGTCCAAAAACCAATGGAAAAAAGGACCTTTCTCCTTACTCTGAGTACGTCGGCACTCGGCAGAGCGAACCACGGTGTACGATGCCACACCCTTGTACCGAACAAAGAACCACAGAAGAGGCTGTTTGGGTGTTTACACTGAACTCTCTGCCTCAAGAGCGTTTTATGTACAAAGAAAGGAGCTGCTAGGAATATAGTTTTAGCACGCACTGCTACGCTTCCGAACTGAAGTATAAAGCGACGTTGCCAAGAATTCTCATTATTTTCATATGGCAAAAAACATTATCTGCTAGCTCATGAAATTCCTTGCAAAACAATTTGGTTTGGATTACGAACCATTATTTTTTTGTGAGCTATTTGCCTCAATGTTGTTAACTCTGGTGTAAAAAATGGAGCAGGATGGATAAATAGCGTTCGTTTGCGCAAAAACAGGTAAAGAAAAACAGAAAAAATACAACAGCAAGGTTACTTACGCTGACACCCTAACCCGCAGTGGCAAACCGCCTTGCGACAGTCTCTCGCTATTTCTCCAGGGGGTTTTCCTGCCCTTTTTCATTAAGATGGAACGGCGTATCAGAGTAACGTTTGCGTAATCCTCTGAGAAAAAGCAAAGGAGCAGGAAACAAAAGAAGATTCTGGCCTGCTTGCTCTTTCCTCTCGCTTACGGAGTTCAATAGGACGAGAAATGTCGGTGACCGCCAAGTACACGAGAAGTCTTGCAAAACCCAAAACCCATCAGAAAATTACAAACAGGTTTCAAGGTTGCAAGTTGTTGTTTTATTTTCGTTTACTTTTCCTTTTTTTTCGTGTGTAAGGCAGCCTTTCCTGCTGAAGAAGAAGCTACTAGGTCCGGTGAGCCCCTTGCTGCTGTCGCCCTACGTCACCGACTGACCTACTGGACCTTAACCTCGTCCGTTCAGTCCCCCCCCCTCTTTTCCCCCCTTCCTCTGCACATGCCAGCGTCGAGTTCAGTATCTCTTCCTGTCCCGATCCATTTATCGGACCGCTGTCGACATGCATCTAGATTTACCTCTTTAATGTGGAGTTGGGTGGCGTTGGGTTGGGGAAGGAAGAAAGGTCGGGGAGAAGGGACGTTAAAAGGGACGAAAAGCCTGCCGTTCGCTCGGACAGAGTCGAATCATCAATCGGGTGACAACTCTCAAGGAAGCGCAAGAGCTTTTAGGGAGCGTAGAGTTTTGATGAGAATGGAGTTTAGAAGGGCGCACGCACTTACTCTGAAAACCCAACAGCATGCATTGCATGCGTTATATAAAGCATGCATGGTATGCATGCGTTATATAAAGCATGCATGGTATGCATGCTGTATTTCACGCATGCATTGAGATGCATGCTGTTTTTAACGCATGCATTGAGATGCATGCTGTATTTAATGCATGCACTGAGATGCATGCTGTTGCTACAACTCGTTTTCGTGGAATATTTACTAAGTGAGCTTTTCGGTTTTATTTTTGATGAGCCCATCGGATTCCTTGTGAAATTTCCGTTCGAACGAGCCTACATGTGATGGGGTTCCCAACTTGAATACCAACGCTTCAAATATAATTTTTTAAAAACCCGCTAAACTGAACGTACGAAGTAACTATGCGTCAGGGCCCCATCACATGTAGGCTCGTTCGAACGGAAATTTCACAAGGAATCCGATAGTCTTATCAAAAATAAGACCGAAAAGCTCACTTAGTAAATATTCCACGAAAACGAGTTGTAGCAACAGCATGCATCTCAATGCATGCAATAAATACAGCATGCATCTCAATGCATGCGTTAAAAACAGCATGCATCTCGATGCATGCGTGAAATACAGCATGCATACCATGCATGCTTTATATAACGCATGCAATGCATGCTGTTGGGTTTTCAGAGTATTTAAGTAGCAGAAAATATAATAGAGATAAAGTTGCTTCTTCTTACCGACAGGTAGCCCCATTCCGACACGGATTGTTGGACTCGCTGCAACCAGGACCACGGCCGCAGTCTTCACCGTGGTGCCCCTCGAAACAGTGGCAGCCAAAACTCCTGCAAGGAAAGAGGGGTTTCATGACGTTCTTTAATTTTAACAAGAAGAGATCCTAGGAAGTCCTAGGATCTTACTCAGCACGTTGTAACATCAAAACATTTATCGTAATTTTAAATTTAATATTATATCGCATATATATATAAGGACATAATCGTGTTCATAAACTCGAAATAAAGAATTCTTGCGAGAGATACATGTATGATTTTTTTTGCCCTGTCCACGCGTGCTAGGCGCTCCCTCACGTCGAGCACATGTGGCAGGATAAGTCCGGTGCGACGGCTCGACCCGTCGGACTGGCAGACACACGGATGCGCCTATTATAATTATTCTGCTCCCTTTCATTTTACTGGAACCAACCCGCGTGCGAGACAGAAAAACTTTCCCGCTTGCCGACGAGTCCATTAATTATGGCGACAAGCTCAGGCTGCTCAAAGGCGCATGACCACCAGCCGCGCTGCGCACGAGAGGTGGAGGGGGAGACCGGTCGACTGCACGACACCCAGAGAATCTTTTCTTGGACACGAAGAAAGCACACAATGCTTCGAGATTTTCTTAAATTCAGTAAACAGTTTACAGGGCGCAAGCTAAACGTAATCTTTTATGCACACTTTGATGCCAGCAAGAAAAAATACATAGGCTGGTGAAAAACTGGCAAAATGGAGAAAATTGTTGTAAAAATACTGCGAGATCTTTTCACTGCAAATTTTGGTAGTACTATGACACACTACTTATCACAATTTTTGTCGATAGAAAGTTATTATACTATTGCAAAATAATGAGTGTCTGCCCCGCCGCCTGCAGGTCTGTGGGTAGGCCGCCCGCTCAGCTAACGTGCCCACCGGGCTGGCCTATCCCACCCATCGCAGGGGCTCGATACGTGGTACTATGCCAGCCAATCGATGATATTAAAAAGAAGTAAAATACCACTTGAAGTCGGAAAAAGGACTCACTTAAAGTCTGAAGCGGCGAGGCACGCGCCCGCCAGCGAGCAGTCGGCCACGGAGCAGGCGTGCCAGGGCTTGGGCGAGCCGTCTCGCGCTTCCCAGGTGATGTTGAAGCCGAACACGGTGAGCAGGTGCGGCAGCGCGCGCAGCTGGTTGCCTTCGAGCCGCTGCGCCGTCAACCGCACCACCAGGTAAGGGGAGTGCGCCACCACCACGCGCGAGTCGAGCGCGTTCTGCTCCGAGACCGCCAGCAGCTGGAAACAACAGCCGGCATTTCACTCAATCTGTTTTTGTTTTATTCTGTGCACACTACAATAGTTAAAAGGTAGATTTTCCAGGATGCACTCTATATGTAGAGGGTAAATTTCATTCCTAAAAAGGCAACATTAAAAATGGACAACAGATTCACTGTGAAAAAAAGTAGGTAGGTTACAGGAAAATTTTCCTTGACGCAAGTTGTGAAATTACAATTTCTAATTGTAAAACAGGATTGTTACAGGTTCCGGATTTCAATTTTTTGACTTTTTCCTGACTAAAATCCAGATTTTTACTAACTTTTTATTCAAGAAGTAGGCAGTATTCCGAACAACGGGAGGGAAAATTTCACTAAAAACAAGAGAATGCACAAAAGCGGCGACTAGCTGCACCGGCAGGGCCCGGCAAGTGCCACTGCCACAGCTCGAGCGTCAATTTTACGACTTCAAATCCCTTGGGGAGTATAAAAAATGCCGTAAATTTACATTTAAATTATAATTCAAGTTTACAATTTTTTTGTAAATTTACGACGATATTTTTCACAGAGTTTAAAAGTCTATTTACTTCAACATAAACATGTCTCGTCTAGGAAACAAATTTGTCCATAAGAAGAGCCAAAATTTTACAATTGTCCTCTCTAACGATATACTTTTGCCTTTGCTAGTCGCGTACGCGTATAAAAATGTTACTTATTTGTCTTACAAAACTGTTCTTTTGCATTAAGAGTGTAAACGTGCTTTGGCAGTGTGAGAGCCACCGTTCCCCGTCTCCCTTTTCCTCCTCATGTCCCCAGAGGATCTCGGGGCGTCTCCGACCGCCCTGCACCTTACCCTCCGTCAGAAGGGCGGGCTGAAAGTTATATTCATCCTCTCTACTAAGAGCAGCCTGCCCGCCCGAGGCAAGCCATTCCCTCGTAGAGCACCCGGCAAATACCCGTCTTTCGGCGCGAGCACAGAGGTGGGTAGCTAGAATCCAGCACCAGTATCTATAGAGCAACCGTTGTTAGCGGGGAGAAGACTTCAAAGGAAAACCACCGTGTAGCGGTCATGCGGTGGGGGAAACGCGCGACAAGAGCACATGTGCTCTTTGGTTTGCATCCAGGAAGTCTCGGAAGTCTACTGGCGCGTGTCAGCGCAGCAGCTAAAAAGCTTCTTAGAGGAGTCTTTATGGTTTCAGCAAATTAACAACCCCAATGATTTCTCTACGCTGGAAAAATTTAGCAGTAGCGTAGCGTCTCATACAAGAGTAGAACAAAATGTTGCACTGTTGCGAGAGTGGAACCGCACTCTTGCACATTACGTGCTACTCTCTTATACATAGGGGCTGTGTTAAAGCTGGACTTTCAGAGAGCGCCCCGCCGGTCCACTAGTAGCTGCCAGTCCATCGACAGGCTCGGCGCTCAGCTTCCACCAACAGAGCGCACTACATGTTTTACACGCTGGGGGAGCTCATCCGCAGCGCCCGCCGTTCATTTGTCATAGCGAGAGGGGCGCAGCAATTTCAATAAGCAAACATAATCCATTTGCTTGGCCTACAGGCCACGCCACACCAAGCCACCCCTCCGACTATACCCCTATAACCCCCCC